TTGCAATTTAATTTAAGAAAAATACTTTCTGCTCCCAATGTGGTTTACAGTAAATGAAAACAAAAAAATCCAATCATAAAATTATAATGTTCGATACAGAATAATTCTACAATAAGGGACTTCCATTCCCAATCCCAAAAATTATGATTGAATTTCTCCAAAGTGCATGGCAGAAACGTTAGAACGATGCTACCAGTTTTCTTGCTGTCCAGCATGTTTAATAGTTGGATTAATGACCTTAATTTACTACAGATAGTCCTCGACTTACGACCACAATTTAATCCAGAATTTATTTTGCTGAGAAATTTGTTAAGTGAGTTTTGCCCCATTTCATGACTTTTCTTGCCACTTTTGTTAAGTGAATCACTACAGTTCTTAAATTAGTAACGCGGTTGTAAAGTGAATTTGGATTCTCCCATTGACTTTGTTGCAAGGTTGCAAAAGGTGGTCACGTGACCCCGGGACTCTGCAACCATCATAAATATTGTTGCCAAGTCAGTTATCAAGTATCTGAATGTTGATCACATGATCATGGGAAAGTTGCAATGGTTGTAAGTGTGAAAAATGGTCATAAGTCACTTTTTTCAGTGCTGTTGTAACTTTGAAGAGTCTCTAAATCAGCGGTTCTCAACCTATGGGTCGCGACCCCATTTGGGGTCGATCGACCATTTTACGGGGGTCGCCAAACAAGGCAATCTGCCATTTTCCCCCCTTAGGGGGCAGCACCGCGCATGGGGGGCACGCATGTGCACCGCGCCGCACATGCGCGGCACGTTTTTGTGACGGGGGTCGCCATCACACAACGTTGAGAAATGCTGCTCTAAATGAACTGTTGTAAGTCAAGGGCTACCTGTATTAATACCATAAATCACAGGATGGGTATAAACTTGCACTATTTTTAATTCAACTGCATCAGTTCAATTTCCACTTACTGCCTTGCTAATATCAAAGATGGCAAGATTTTTTTTTTCTTAATCTGCTGACAGAATCAAAGGAAAGTTCATATAACTTAGAGGCAAGCGAATGAGTTGGTGACTGATGGCCATACCACTTGTTTCAAAGGCTGCAGCTGTGTGGGTGATTTGCACCTTAATGAAGCAGCTGCTTCACATCAGTCACCACAAAACCTTTAAGTCAGTTAGCATGTCAGCTTCTCCCTGTGCAAATGCCAGTTCAGTTTCTCTTGTCCTTGCAAAGCAATGAAATGAGTTTAGATTCACTTAAAGACAATATCTCGTTTGCATATCCAAACAAAAGTTGAGTAATATGTAAATAATCTGAGGATATTTCATGAAGTATACCACACTTACAATGGTTGGGTTCAAGCAATTTAGCAATTATTGCTTGGGAATTCATAGCAGCCTGGGTATGTAATACTAAATTATCATGCAATCAGCCAAAGATCATTGCATTGTAGAACGTATAGAAAGCCAAGAACTTCAAGGGCTGAAACAGTAATTATTATGCAATTCAATTAAACCAACTTAAACACAACTGGAATGTTATTATATGAGGTCATATTTGTTCATCATAAATATTGTTTAGCCTACAATAAATCCTGGAAACAGCCTCTGTAACACTTCTCAGATTGAAGGGTAATAAAATAACTTCTTATCTTATGAACTCTTTCCAAACTGAGGAATATTTTGTAAGCTTAACTCTTTGTATGTGGTTGATTCCACAATCATGGCTCATTGGCAACTTGCAGAGAAAATATTAGGTGATTGCCATCAACAACAAAGCGTAAAGAAAAATAAATGTAAAAATACTGAAATATTTCTTGCACTACTCCTCCTGTTTGGAAGGTCTCTCATTAACTAAAACATACCCCTGCTGGCATATTTGCTAAGGAATTCTGAATTCTGTATTTTGCAAGCTCCTGAGATAGCAGATTAAGTTCCATATTCCTCATCTCTGTTGAAGAGCTAAGAGTACAGTGCCAGCCAGCATGGCATTGTCTGATGCCAGTGAAAAGGTATACATTAGTGGCAACTGCAAAAGCCAATTTAAATACTTAAAAAAGACAGCTTGTTAAAAGAATTATTATGATGGTTGTAATTTACATCATCCTCTTCTTAAAGAAGTCTATTGTCTCTTTTTCATCTCTTTTTAACAAACTAATGAAATTTCAATGTTAAATGACAAGAATCTGTTTCAATTCCTGTCTTCATTCAATTCTACATAATTGCAATGCTTTCCATATCTTCTTTTGAACAACCCTATAGGATTCTGGTTTCAATCTTGAGGAATTTCTGTCCTTTGAAATGCTTCTTTTTAATAACCAAGTGGTTTCCAGTTCTTTCAAGCTACTCAAAATGCAAAACACCCCAAGAAGAGTTTCAAGTAAACAGAGTTAGTTTGTTGTAGTGGTAAAGTTACTAACTTGGAACCAGGACAGTTGAGTTCTAGTCTTCTCTTAAGCATGAAACCTAGTTGGGTGACTTTGGGCTAGTCACTCTCTCTTAGTCCAATGTATTTCATAGGGTTATCGCGTAGAAAATAGGAGAAGTATTAAGTAGGCAAGGCTTTTTTTCCACCTTGACCAAAATTATATTTGAAAAGGCAGGATAAAAAAAAATCTAATAATAATATTTTAAATGCTCAGATAAAAGCAATGGCTTAAGTTCTAAACTCTCTTAAAATAATATCCATCTCTCCCCTCCTGAGTAGGAGAGGAATTAAATTAGAAACAACACTGTACTTGATACAAGGTCATCATGACATGAAACAGAAAAGCTCAACACAAATATAATAAGGCTGACAGACCAGGCTTATTTGGACAGTATTTCCACAGAGTTTTGAGAAAAGCTGGGATGGTTTTGGCCCTGAGGTCAGTTGCAAAGTCTCCCTTGAGCAAGAACAAGAAACCAGTTCTTTGCCAGAGAGTAAAGCACCACTTCATAACAAAATCAGAAGTTTACTGGGTGAGCTGTAGATGTGACATCATGAATCAGACTTGGACAGGTTGCCTAGAATTATTCATTCCTTACTTTTCTTCTATCTTGTAAGGCTCTTGCAGACATAGAAAATGAGGGAGGAACCCCTAACACCCAAAAGATGATGGCAGGAATAATCCAGAATAATTACTTTCGTTAAAATTGCATCCCAAAGGCTTTAATTCAATATTGTGAAGCACTGTAGTGCAGTCTCTGCAGCAGTGCCTTTTTGATAATGGCACCCATCTTGTGAAATATTCCTGCCAATTAAAATTTGTTAAGTCTCTTATATTCAATTGCCACCTTTCTCATTCTGATGTGGTCCAGAAGAATCAAAGAATGTATCTCATCCTTAGGCAGTATGGTCAACCATGCTATTTTGGGATTAAGCAAAATTATGACAGATTTTGCTCTGTTGTACAAATATCTGAGCATCTTGCCTTCAGCTCCTAGTAGCGAAGTGAGATATAAATGTAATACACTGACATTACTTGGAGGAAAGATAAAATCCATGCATAATGTGAAAATAAAAAAATAGAACAGAAAAGAGTAACAGAGTTGGAAGGCCTTGGAGGTCATCTAGTCCAACCCCCTGCTCAGGCAGGAAACCCTATACCATTTCAGACAGATGGCTGTCCAATCTCTTCTTAAAAACTTTCAGTGTTGGAGCATTCACAGCTACTGGAGGTGGGTTGTTCCACTGATTAAAATTAATAACTCTTCGATATCACATTGTAAAGAGACTTTACACTTAAAAAAGATTAAGATTTGTATGAGTTGGCCTTTGTGCCCTAATTAGAGGAAATGGTGGAGGAGAAGCACCCGCCTCTGGAATAAAGACACATCATCACATTTTACTGGTGCCTTGGGATTATTCAAACAAGCCTCACTTTTCACTTCCTACTGGAAATGAAAGGCTCCTATCTTAAACATACATACCTTACTGCATGGGTCTTCAAACTTGGCCCTTTTATGATATGTGGACTTCAACTCCCAGAATTCCTCAGCCAGCTTGGCTGAGGAATTCTGGGAGTTGGTCCATACATCATAAAAGGGCCAAGTTTGAAGACCCCTTCCTTACTATCTCTATAGGAGACTTGAGTCTGAAATGGTTTCATATGCAGCTGCATTCATGAGGGTATCAACAAGTCAAAATAGCCATTGCTTATCATGTGATTGAAATTGCCATCATTAGTTTGTGACCCATGCTTGTTAAAGTGTTGGATTGAGATGAAGAGACCCAAATTCAGGTCCAGATGAATAAAGTCACTGGGTGACTTTAGATCTGACACTTTCTCAGCCTATACCCTACATAAGGGATCTGCAACCTCGACAACTTTAAGACTTGTGGATTTCAGCTCCCAGAATTCCTCAGCCAGCATAGCATAAGTCTTAAAGTTGTCAAGGTTGCAGACGCCTGCCCTACAGGGTGTTGTTATGGAGATAAAATGTTGAGGATCCCTGGTTAAGCCATCTTCAGTTCCTTGAGGAAAGGCAGAGTGTAAAACAAGGGGGATCAGTCACTGAGTTTATATGTTACAATAATCTATGGATTGCCTGTTGAATTAGCCAGTATTGGCTGGCTTCACAAAACACGTTAAGCTAGAAACTATGGCTAAGTTGAACAATGTACCAAATGGTTAAAATAAAACTGAACATCTCAGATTATGGCTTAATGTAATGTCTGAAGTTAGTCAGTTAGCTCCAACAAAATCAATACCCTTTCAGAGAAAATGCTTTTAAGGCAGGATAATTCCTACACTGTGATCTTTGTTTTGGATATCTGAAATGAAGAACCAAGTCAGAAATTCACTTTGCCTGTGCCAACCTATGGTGTGATCATTGATTCCAGGCAATAAATATAATTTGCTCACATTGTAAATACAATAGAAACAAAAATCCCATTTTGCAAATGTCCTTTTCTCAGGAGATGAAAAGTAAGACAAATTGAAAAAGTTAAGGGAATATATTCCGAGCATAGAAGATGATTTCTATTTTACTTTTACCATGTTCTGGCATATTTATATACATATACACATATAACCACACACAGAGAGACAGAAACGTAATAAAAGCTGAAGTTTTACTCCATTATAGCAATTTAAAAATGAATAATATGAAGGGAAAATGTACAAGGTGATTTCCTGTTCTTAAAAAAAACTTATCTTAAATGGATATCTGAGCAGAAATTTAATCAGGCCTATTATAAAACACTTCTTATGACAAGTATTGGTCATTTCTTGGGCAAAAAATACTTGCAAAGGAATAAAAAAAAGTTCATGATGTGTGAAACAGGCTCAGCAAGTAAAGGTTTGCAGCAAAGTGAACTGGCTCTAGATTTGGCCAGACACCAAAGAGGTCCATGAAATCAGTGTAAATTACCGATCCATGTTTGACCTCTCTCTGATTCAGTGTGTCACTCTAAGTATGACCAAATCCAGGTCTCATCCATAAAATGTAGGCATACAAAATGACACAGAATTGGGGATATCTCAACACTGCTAAATCTCATCCATCCCAAAAAATCTCCAACAATTTTTAAAAATACACAATTTCTGTATGTTATCTCTACAAATGAGGAAAGAGAGAGAGAGAGAAAGCAGACATAGGGGTGGGGTGGGGTGGGATTGTGGACAGACAGATGGAGAAGCAAGTCACTTTTTGTGAAAGAGAAGCGGTTTCACCATTCCTGCCAATATCTTTGGAAGCTGGGCAGCTATCACTTCTGACATCATCTCTGGGAATTCAACACTCAGCGTCCGGGACTGAAGAAATGTGTTGAGACAGTATAAGTGAAGTTGCTTCACAAGCTATATTAAAATAAAATAAGAGGGAGAGGAGGACAGAGGGAAGAGATAGAAATTATATCGCATTGGGTCAAATAGTCCCTGAGTTGTGCCCTTAACCTACATTTTTGTTTTGACATATACACTGAGTAAGCATGATGCCCAGCCAAAACGGGATTGCTTGCTGTAAATTAGTACCATGTTTGTGATTTGTAAACTAAGGTTTATTTTTTTTTTAGCAAAGGATGACTTAGTAGGGTTGTGTGAAAACTGAATGACACTCTTCCATATTGTTAATCACTGATTGGCAGGTGGCAATTTCTTACCAAAAATGTGTTAGATCTGACTCTACCAACCTAAACTGATCACTGGGTAATTACACAATAAAATCATTTGTGCAATATGTATATTATCAATTTGAAGTTCTAATGGTTTGTTACAAACCCAAGTGTCATTTATCCTTGCTATTCTGCTTTAAATCTCACTTATCTGATATTATCTGACCAAAGGCTGATGCAAATTGAATCTTGTAATACTCATTGAATCACAATTTAACCAACCACAGCATAGCTCAGGGAAGCGTTTCTTAAACTTGGTAGCTTTAAGATACATGGACTTCAATTCCCAGGTGGCTGGAGAATTCAGGGATTTGAAGTCCACACATCTTAAAGTTGCCAAGATTGAGAAACAATGGCTTAGGGTTCTGTGTGAACTAAACCCATATGGCCGTTTTTTGATTCAGTGTACCATATGAATCCAGAAAGCCTCCCAAAAGTTATAGTTAAATTATATGGGAATGCAAGCAGAACCAGCCACTTTGGCTTACTGAAATCATAGTATACAACTCCATTTGGAGCAAGAACAACATAGGAATACAATATTATTAATCCTAACACTTGTTTTTGGCAAGGGGAAGATTCAGGCAAGTCAAGGGCCATGCTGATCTATAACTGACATGCCAAAGGGCATGCTCCAGAAATGGAATCACGCCAGTACAAAAGCTAAATATTATACTCTGTTACTTATTCCATTTAACATTAATTAATGCCAAGCAATTAAGTCCAGCTGAAATGATTACAAACTGCCTAGCTTGAGTGATCAGGAAAAAAAAATAAACAGTCTAATTAAGCCTTGGATGACAGGCTTCCAGGAATTCTCAGAGCTGTGGGCTAAATTGAGAAATTGAGTGTACACTCACAAAAGAATGCCATTGTGAATTATTTTTGCATTGCTATTAGGAAAATTGCATAAGGTATCCAGGTGATCACCAGGTGTCGAGTTTAACTCCAGGGATATTCTTTACCTTTTAGAAACATTCAGTCAAAGCTAGTTTGGTTACTTTGCATACACTGTCGATTTCCCTAATTCTGTCACATTAAACCCTGCAATCTGAAGAGAATTAGGGGAATGAGTCTGGTCTCAGATTGTACAGTCTTCTCCATAACAGAATTTTCAACCTTCAGCACACTGGCTGGGAACTTCTGGAAGTTGAAGTCCACACATTTTAAAATCGCTGAGGCTGAAAAATGTTGTACTCGAGCAAAAGTATATAGCCATGCAGCTTCTCTTAGAAGAACAGCTGTGGTTGGGAAGTCCTTCACAAAATGTCATCTTGTGCACCAATTGCATCTGTTCCAGGACCACGGTGTCCTGTTCATAGTTGCTCACACCTTAACTACCTTCAGATTGGATTATTGCAATTTGGTCCACATGGGCCTGCCCACATGGGCATCCAAAAGCTTCATTTGATTGAGGTTTCTAGGGGAGGTATGGTGAACTAAAGATGGCTCTGTGAAAGGAGAGCTGATGACTCTACTTAGATCAAGGAACCAGTGAGTAAAGAAGTCCCTTGAAATCTCTCCAGATAAAAGAGGATGTGATATTGCCCACATGTTTTCCAAACAGCTGCTCCTTGCAGGAAACTGCAGGACAATGGTTTTCTGTGGGTTTGAGCAGTAGGAGATTTCAGATGCAACAATCTTGCTTGCAGCTGTGATAGAGACTTTTAAAGGACACTAAGTTCTCAAATTTCACTTTCCAATCACTTTTGGAAAAGCTAATTGCTTATTAGCTAATTCTAAACTACTAGGACCTTTGGTCTGAAAATTTGAAAATGCTAGGTGAGTCTTTCAGTCCTGAATGAAAGAAAATTTTAATCATAAACTTAAGAATTTAAAACATCTGAAATAAACAGCAAAAAGCTAAATAAGATTTTGATCTTAGAAAGTTATAAATGAACTAAGTGTCTGCATAAAATTGGAACGTAAAAACTTTTACAATGAGATTTTGGAATTAATTATAAAGAACACTTTCTTGTGGGACATAGATCCTGTTTTGGTTTTTACAAAAGATAACAGAAATAAGCAATTCCATTAGTTTCAAAAATTGGACATTAAGAGGTGACTAAAGTTTACAGTAAATAAAATATTTACAAGCCTGTAGAATGTTTCAGAATACTATAACAGTAAAAATACTGAAAAAGTTTTAAAAAATGGAATCAGAAAATAGTAGTCACAATACCAACAATGTCAGTAATGGAGTCTGCTTCTATGGATAGACTAAGTTCAAAAGATGCTCTTAAAGAAATGGCAGATGTAGAACAAATTTTATCTGACAAGATAGAGATAGGATTGAAAACAGATTTACAATTGACAGGTCAAGAGAATAACTTAGAAAAGGGATCTGAAATTTAACTACGAATGATTATAATGAAATATTATTATTGTGCTGATATAGAATTTTCTTCTATGTGTACACCTTTGTGAATATATGCACAGTTTTGTTTCTTTTTCTAGTATTTTCCATATCCTTATTTTTATTTTCTTTGTAACTCCAACCAATTGTTTACCTTTTTTCCTTTTCATTGTTTTTTTTTCCAACTGATAAAAGCAAAACAAAAAATAAATAAAGGGAAGAGATTCATTTACTTCTCCGTTCTCTACAGTATCAGACCATCTGGCACAAAACAAGAGTAATATTACAGTTCCTGAGATAGTACAAAATTATATTACATCATTATAATATAATTATAAAATAAAACTTACATCATGCATGGCGTCCATAAGCTTTGTGAGCTGGTAGAAACGTTGAGAACTGGCTACAACCCCTTTCTGTCGCAGTCCAATTGCTTTGACCAGCTCTCTGATGTAACTGGATCTCATATCATCAAACTGGTTTTGGCTTCTGAGTCCTTCCAAAGGAACTTTGTTTTGGGGGGTAGGAAAGGATATTTTTACCTCTGAAGCTCAAATTTCAAGCAATAGAAATACACTGTTGTCTCAAATGCATTCAGACTCAACCATTTTGAAACATGTAACTTTAATGCTTGAATCAAATTCCTGTACTGATTCCTAGTAATCATAAAACAGAGACAATCTTTTTATTGCTATTATATTTTACCACAGTTAAGATCACAAGTAAGGTGTGCGAATGAATGACAAAAAAACTAGTTGAACTAAGCATTAAGCAATTTGAGCTTGTCTCTGATTACTTAAGGGCCAACTAACTCAGACATGACAAGAGAGAATGGTCCCTATAGTGCAAGCTGTCATTCCCCCCCCCCCCCGCGCGGCATTACTTGCAATGTAGAAATGCAAATCTCAAGTAAGTGCCTTGCCAGTGGTCCTTGACTTACGACTATAAATTGGGACCGATATTGTCATCATAAGTCAGAGTAATTGTAAAATGAGTTGTCACATGACCACACCAATTTATGAAGCAATCCCAGCATTCTCCATTGTGGATGATAAGTGAACACTCAGCCTAATTCAAGCCATTCTGAGCTTGGTCCTCCCCAGCCCCAAGCCTGAGTAAGATAAGAGACTGCCTTCAACTCCCTCCCCAATCGCTTTTGGATGTCTTGTACCCTGCCTTGCAGGATAGCAAGCAACCTCAAAATGTGCAGGTCTGGGGCTGCTTGTCATGCCCCAGGAAGCCTCAGCTCTCCCAGCCCACCCCAGCAAGCCCCAGCTTCCTTCTTACCCCAATCCCATGTGCTCTCCAGCCCAGCAAGCTTCAGCAAGCATTCCTTTGCTCCCCAGTCTGGACTAGCATGCACCAGAAAGCATTTCTTCACCCAGCTGTCTTCTCTCCCAGTTCCCTGCAGGGACCTTTCACATTTTGCTGTCTCCTTTTTGGATCCAGTTTCTCTAGTGAAAGTTTCCCACTTTTTCCCCCTTGTTTTTAAAGCACTATCATCATAAAGCTACACAGTCTTCAGAATGCCTTTGGAAAGAGAGCATAGTTTTCTGAACACTGCACTGTCTTTGAAAAGCTGCACTGTCTTTGGAACAAAACATTGTGTAGACAGCACAATTTTCCAAAGTCTTTGGAAATAAGGAAAAAAGGTAGGAAAACAGGAAACATTTGCTGGATAAGCTAAGTCCGAAAATGGACAAGGGCAACAATCCAGATCTCTAGTTGTTGTTTTTCAGATTGCTGATTTATTAACCCAAGACATAAATTTAACATGGAGCATATTTTTAGAAGATTTCAGATTCCCAGTCTGCAATTCATTGTCTTTTCTCTCATCAATAATTTACTGTGAATTTTCCCTTACTTTGGAATGGAAGGGAAGGGAAGGGAAGGGAAGGGAAGGGAAGAGAAGAGAAGAGAAGAGAAGAGAAGAGAAGAGAAGAGAAGAGAAGAGAAGAGAAGAGAAGAGAAGAGAAGAGAAGAGAAGAGAAGAGAATAGTGCTGTAAGGGACCTTGGAGGACTTCAAGTCCAGCCCCTGCTCAAGCAGGAGAACCTTTACCAGGTTGCTTATCTCTTTGATAAGTTTCCAACTATTGTTTCTCATCCTGCCCTCCGGCGCTTTGGAGAATAACGTGACCCCCTCTTCTTTGTGGCAGCCCCTCAAGTACTGGAACACTGCTACCATGTCTCCCCTCTTTCTTCTTTTCTTTAGACTAGCCAGATACAAGTCCTGCAGCCGTTCTTGGAGCAATAGGTTATTACATTGGGGGGGGGGAGAAATCACCAATCTTTGGTTGTTTTTGTTTGTGTTCTGCTTAAGAGTTTACTTATTTGAAACATTTATATAACCTTTATATTTATATTCAAGATACTTTATAACCAGTCACATTATTGTTGTTGTTATTGTTGTTGTTACATTTTCACAACATGATCCCCACTACCTCAGCCCTTTATTGTGATCCAAAAACGATGATACATATGAGAAGAAAATGTAGACTATCTACCCCCCCCCCAAGAGGAGAAGTCTCCTCCTTTTGATTCCCCTGAGCCTGAGATCATGGCTTTTCCATTTCATTAGAGATAAAGAGCAATTAAATCCTTAATCATATCTCCATGCAGCAGATTGAAACCGCTGCAAAATTAACAAGACCACTTTCCAAGAGCGATGGACACTATGGCCTTATTTGCACAATGCAGTGCAGCCCTTTGGATTCAAATGCAGAGTCCTTTGGAACACACAGAATCTTTAAAGCCTACAAGTCTTCAACGTAGCTGTGTCTTTTCCAGGACTCTGCTGTAGCTGAAGAGGACAGTTGTGCCATTCCAAGAAAAGACACAGCTTCTTAAAACAGTTGCAGACAGGAGCTACCTATATTTTTCCAAGTGCCTTCTCAGCCCTTATTTAAGTATCATACCTTATTCAAAGTGCTGGTATCCTGAGTCCAACAGCGGCAGAGCATTGGACTATCAGATATCACCTTGCAATGGTTTAATCCATGTGGACATCTGAAGAAGTCCACCCCACCTCACCAGCAACAGAGGATTAGGGGGAAATAGACCGCACAGCACTTCTTTGTATTTTTTAATAGATATGCACTTTTTTTAACCTGCTTGAAACCTTTTGCTCTGGGTGGATCATAAAACTGGAAATGCATGCATGCATCCATTCATCCATCAATCCTCTGCTTTGATTAGCAGATAATTTGCACAAGACCTTCTGCACAGAACAGGCCAGCCCCACAACAGGATTCTGTAATGTTATTGAAAACTCTGCTTCTTTTCATCCAGGCACCTGGTTCAGTGAAACAGGTACAACTTAACAATGATTTTGCTCAAAGAAGGGGAAAAAAAGGCAGATGTGGCTTACTTGTATTCAGGAGGACCAAGGCTTTCATGCAAAGGAACTCTTCACTGCTTACTTGTAGCTTGACAAACTCTTGTGGAATTTGCCACATGGTCAGGCACACGGAATAGAACGATGATTCTTTCATCCTCTCTCTTCGCATCCCCCCAGAAAAGAAAAGCAAAAGCTAAAAAAACAAGTATAAAGCCTGTGGGTTCTTTAAGGTCCTCACTTTGCAATATGGTACTACTTGGAATATAATTCTTATAGCAAGTCAGAATCAAGATTCAGAGACAAGAAGGCTAAGCTGAGAAGATTATCTTCAACCAACATTTTTTAATCAAGAGAATCCATCTTCTTTCCTGGGGAAGAAGCTGCATTAACTATTCTTGTAGACCTCAAGCTTGTTTATACATATACAGTGGTGAGATTCAGCCAATTCGCACCACTTCGGCAGAACCGGTAGCTAATTTTTTGTTGCCCAGGCCCAGAATGGACTTCCGGAAGCGGCATCCACACAGAAAACCAGTTGTTCACATATTTGAATCCCACCACTTCATACATAAGTCCCCATTCCAGTAATAATCCAGAAGTTTAGAATTATAAAGGTGATGTCTGGATCCACAGATAGTCCTTGTTAGAAAATTTTAATTTCTCTATTAGTGAAAAAATAAATCAGAAGATCTCACAGTTGACTGCATTTAACTGATTCAAATAAATTTCTTTATATTCATATCAAAATATTTACAATACCATACATTCTTCTTTACAGCAACATAGCTCAATGAAGACTTCTTACAGAGAGATACAGAGACAAATCTGAGACTGAAAATTCAACTTCTAACTCAATACCTTTTGCACAGACTCAGTAGCACTTTTTTCACTGGCTGACTGAGTTACCACATGACTCTTCCTGCTCATGAATATTCCAACACTCCTCCCTTCATGACAGAGAGAGACATCAGACCTATTGACTTAATACGTTCTCCATAGTGAACATCACCCAATGGTTAGTCATCATGTCTGCCAAATTATCTTCAGAACAATGATATAAACTAATCATTTTTTTCTTTTACAGCTTCCCCGACATTACAGTACTTAATGTCTACATGTTTACTTCTGTTCTTCACCCTGTCACCAGTTGCCATTTTTATACAGGCAGTATTGTCTTCAAATACCTTTACAGATACTTTTACATTAATATTTAAATTTTGCAAGAACTGTACATACCATGTTACTTCAGAACACAATTCAGATAAAGCAATAACTCTGCTTCCACTGTTGAAATAGCAACAGTTGTTTGTTTTCTGGATTTCCATCAAATCAGAGTCCCTCCAAACAATATTATAATACCAGAATTTGATTTCCTTGTGTTTATGTCATTTGCATAGTCACTATCGACATAACACTTTAATTTCAATTCCTCAGTAATCTGTATTTGAAGACCCAAATTTATAGTTCCCTTTAAATATCTGAGAACCCTTTTTACACCCATCCAATGTAACTTTGTAGGTGCAGCAGTAAAACGACTCAAAATGCTTACTGCGCAAGCTATGTCTGGTCTGGACCACTGTGATAGATATAACAAACTCCCTATTGCTGAGTGATATATCTCTTGATCACAGGTTTCACCTTTGTCCGCACTTAAACTATTATAAAAATCCATACTCATGGGTATGGGAGCAGTATTGCAATCTTTCATATTATATTTTTCCAATAACTGCTCAATTTTTCTCCTTTGACTGAGAATGTAACCACCTTTTTCATTTTTCTGTATCTCTACACCAAGATATTTTTTTTATTTCTCCCAAATTCTTTAATTGTGAAAAACCTTGTGCCACTAACCTGGCCTTATACTGTACATCATTATTTGGCAATATCTTTTTCTTATATACGCACTTATAACCCACAGCTTTGGTTCCCTGTGGCAAAGTCATTGATTTAAATACTTCATGGTCTCCCATGGATTTCATCTCTTTATCCATGGCCTCCTTCCATCTTTCTTGTTCAGCTTTTGGTAATGCCAACACTTCTTTATAACTTCTTGGCTCATACCACACATTGCAAACCTTTACCTTGCTGGCAGAATACCTGTCAGGCAGAATTCCTTTATTACATCACTCTGACCTACATGGTATTAACTACTCCTGTGTCTCAAATCTTTCTGGTTTCATGTCTTGTTCAGCCTCTCCTCCCTGAACATTGACATTTTCAATAATCATTTTTCCATCATTAGATGAGTTGTTGTCATTAAATAGATCACCATCATTAAGTGAAACATACCCAGAATTTGCATTAATTCTGTCCCAATTTTGTTCTGCAAAATTAGCAGACCTTGAAATTACAATTCTTTTACTTCCATCGCTAAAGCGATATCCTTTTGACCCTGGCTCATAGCCCACAAACCTGAGCTTTCTTGCCTTTTGCTGTCCCTTTCTTCTGATTGCTTTTGGAATATGTATCCATGCAGTACTTCCAAAAATTCTCAAATGTGCCAGTGATGGCTTTCTCCCATATAGAATGGCATATGGAGTATTATTAATGGAGGAATTCCACAGCCTGTTAACTAAATAATTGGCAGTCAATATGGCTTCTCCCCAATATGACCTGCTCATACTAGAATCCTCTAATAATGAATCCTTCATTGTTTGCAAAACATCATTCCTTCTTTCAGCTACACCATTCTCTGCTGCTGTGTAAGGATTTGTACATCTGTGTCTTATTCCCAACTGCCCCAGCCATTGTTGGAATTTAGTTGGCATAAATTCAGAACCTCTGTCAGTTTGCAACTGACACACTTGTTGTCTGTACCTTCTCTCTACAAAACTTATCCACTGTTTGAATTGTTGTAGCACCTTTGTCTTTCCTCTAAGCAAGTAGCAAAAACTATACTTGCTATAATCATCAACAATTACTAGTGCATATTTTGCTCCTCCCAAACTGGCTTGCACAGGTCCCACCAGATCTGCATGGACCAGCTCTAGAGCTCTTTTTGTTTGTCTTGTGCTATATTTACTAACTGGGAATGCTTTTGACTTCGATGCTTTGCATACTGCACAGTCCAAATATGTTTTGCATCCCTTCAAATTTAGCCCTTCTGCAAACTCTTGCATTTGCTGCAAAACTTTAAAGCTTGCATGGCCAAGTCTTCTATGTAGAAGATGAACACATGAATCGTGCTCTGCAACTTTCTTAAATATATGGGAATATTGAACCTTTTGTCCCTGCAATACATATAGATTATCTTCCTTTATGCCTTCTGCACAAATATTCCCATTCCTTTTAATGAGACACTTCCCATTTACAAAAATGGTCTCAAAACCTTGTTTGTTTAAATTAGACACACTTAACAAATTATGTTCCATCTCAGGTACACAAAGCACATAGGTAAACTTTGATTCCAAATATGGAATTTTTACATCGCCTCTTCCGATGACTTTTGCTCTCTGGCCATTTGCCAAAGCCACAGCTTCTTGTGCTACTGGAACAAACCTGCAAAATAATTCAGAGTCATTAACAATTGTTTGACTTGCCCCACTATCTATTAGCCACTTGTCTCTGTTGTTGTTATAACAAACTTCTGCAACACCAAAATGTTCCTTTTGCAAATCAGTCTTTGTTGCTTGCACAAATGTCCTTCACTGCAAATTGTTCCTCTGCAAACAGTTCCTTTTCAGATGTGTGTTTGCTCCACAAATGTAGCAATTCTTTTCTTGCTGAGCTCTCTGCTTGCAAAATCTCTCTTTTGACGCAACTTGGTCCCATCTGCCCCTTGTTTCTTCTCTGGAGACTTGCAGTCTCGACCCCCTCCTCAGGAATTTCACCTCCTCATGGCTGTTCCTAAAATGTTGCTTTTCTTCTTCATTAAGCAAACATGCCTTTAAAGCCTCAAAATTTAAGTCTTGCTCTTCTTTACACTCAAATATCACAGAAACTGTGTCTCAGGTTTTATCTAAACTATTCAACACCAATAAAACCTCCTGGGATTCAGGGAATTTAACCCCACGTTGTTCTAAGTCCAAAAATAAACTTTGCATTTTATTTAAATGCTGTTCCACAAATTCACCTGGTTGCAAACAGGCCCTGTAAAGTTTTCTTGACAATTGCACTATATTGCATGCAGAAACATTCATGTGCACAGCTCTCAACTTCAACCAAATCTCCTTTGCAATCTTTAAATTTGCAACATTTAGAAATTGTTCATCATCTAAATTCAAGATGAGATAAGCCATTGCTTGATCATGACTTTTCTGATCAGCAGCTGCAAACACTTGTGGATTTTCTATGATATACCACAGCTCTTTTGCTTTGAGCAAACATTCCATTTTAGCAGCCCACACAATGTAATTCTTCTGGCCCAAACGAGGCACAGAATTTTCCTTAAATTCCATTGCAGCCATTCTGCTAATTCTGCATTGTTCTTATACTTTCTAAACACAGGCAATTTCTTCCAGCTATAAATTACAATGCAGTCCTTAGTAAGCTCTGGGCCCATAACCTGTTAGAGAATTTTAATTTCTCTATTGGTAAAAAAAATAAATCAGAAGCTCTCACAGTTGACTGCATTTAGCTGATTCAAATAAATTTCTTTATATTCATATCAAAATATTTACAACACCATACATTCTTCTTTACAGCAACATAGCTCAATGAAGACTTCTTACAGAGAGATACAGAGACAAACCTGAGACTGAAAATTCAACTTCTAACTCAATACCTTTTGCACAGACTCAGTAGCACTTTCTTCACATTGGCTGACTGAGTTACCACATGACTCCTCCTGCTCATGAATATTCCAACAGTCCTCAACTTACAACCATTTGTTCAGTGATTGTTTGAAGTTACAAAGGCACAGAAAAAAGTGACTTATGAACATTTTTCACATTTAGGATCATTGCACCCTCCTCCAAATTTTGATTTTGTGATCAAAATTTTGCTCAAGTAATAAATTGAGGACTACCTGTATATTTTTTAATAAGTTGCAGGAAATGTCAGAATAAGTACACATCGAATAAAATAAGAGGAATTTAAATATATTAACTTTCAATTAGTCAAAATTTAATTTTACTGTTACTTTTCATACTTCTGGTTTTGTTTTGTTTTTTTTAAAAAATATTTTGTAGCCGCTTGACATTGTGCCTAGTGGATAATATAGACATGCTGGAAGCTGTAGTACCAACATATCAGAGGTAGGTTTTTTTATATACAAGTTCTGCTTACTTAACATATGTATATCTTTGTATACATAATATTCTGTCATTCTTGTCCAGAAGCAATATAGTAATGAACTGCATCAGAAGAGGACCAACAAAGAAAAAACTGGGATGCTTAAGGTCATTCATCTCAACCAGACTACGACACAATGCTACTTCTGAGTGATACTGCCTTCCAATTATAAGAATCTGAGCTGTTCTCAGATCTAGCCATTATTTTGAAGATCCAAGAGGTTTCCATGATTTGAAGATACTTTTATTAGTCAGAATAACAGAGTTGGAAGGGATCTAGTCTAACCCCCTGCTCAAGCAGGAAACCCTATGCCATTTCAGACAAATGGTTGTCCAATCTTTTTCAAAACTTCCTATGTTGGAGCACCCACAACTTCTGGAGGCAAGTCATTCCACTGATTAATTATTATAAGTATCAGAAAATTTATCTTTATTTCTAGGTTGTTTCTCTCCTTGATTAGTTTCCATCCACTGCTTCTTATCTTGCCTTCAGGTACTTTGGAAAATAGATTGACCCCCCTTTTCTCTGTGGCAACCCTTTAGATATTGGAACATTGATATCATGTCACCCTAGTTGTTTTAATTAAATTAGACATACCCAATTTCTGCAACCATTCTTCCTATGTGTTAGCCTCCAGACCCCTAATCATCTTTGTTCTCTTCTCTGCACTCTTTCTAGAGTCAAGCAAATTCCCACTTCAGAATCTCTCCTGATCTGAGACAGTCAATGATCAATACACTGCACATAACCTGCTCATAGGAGCATTACATAATTAATATGATAAAGCATCAAAATCAAAGTCTCTTCCAAAACGTACATAGCCATGTGCTTAATTCCCAGTCCATTAGTTTAAAACTGTTTTCTGCTAGTGAATCACGTAAAATATCGATCAAATTATCAACTCAACAAATGAAAACTCTGCTTTATTTATCTCAATAATTCCTTGTCTTGATAATAGTTCTCTAATTCCTAACACACTCTTAATATAACACTGGAGACTGAATTGCTTTAATGACAATGCTGTACTGTTAAACCATTTCAGATGTTTAGAGCTACAACTTGGGAGAAATAATATATAAATAAGGAAAGCAAGAGAAAAATTTAAGATTAACAGGGACTTTGGTTGTTTTTATTGGAATATCATTGTTTATCTTTTATTTTGAACTGTTGCCCCCCCCTAAAGTTTTATAAATACAAAAACAGAATATTAATTGAAAAAATGAACATGTACAACACCATAAATCATACTTACTCATTTAATATTAGATCAGGAGCAAAGTACAGCATTTGACCACTGACATGTTTATATGATCTCCATCCCAGCCCAAAGGCCATTAGACTCATCCATGAATATTGGATAAGAGTTATCTGGTCATCAATATGCAAGTTCCGGAATCCTAGAAAGAAAAAAAGGAAGAGGGATGCTGAATATGTAACGAGATTTTGTCACATTTTTGATTTACTATCATATATGACAAGCAGGCTCCGCTCACTTAGCTTAGACTAGGCCAGTGTTTCAGTGTTGTCAACTTTAAGATGTGTGGACTTCAACTCCCAGAATTCCTTAGTCAGGATGTTGGGGGAATTGAAGACTTCTGGGAGTTGAAGTTTACATACCTTAAAATGGCCAAAGTTGTATTGTTACCACAGAAGAAGTTGCACATACTTAGGAAATAAGAGGACCACACTATAATCTCCTTTTTCTCCTGGCGTAGAATCCACACAGAAACAGTAATTAGGGTGCATCTTAGAGTGACACTAAATTCAGGAATCACCCAGAAAAAATCAAGTTATTGTATAATTATTGTAAAATTAAAAACAGTATCTTTGAGTCACCCCAACTCCTACATAAGATGTCTCCTCTAGTCATTCAGATTCATGTTTAGTGTTTGCAAAGATGAAAAGGCAAGCAAATTTCTACTTCAGTTAGCAATGCCATTTCTTCAAAGCCCCATCTTCAAACATTTAATGTACGGCTTAACTATTTTGGGAAAGTTTTAAACAAGTAGACAAATGTAACACAAATTTCATCCTTCAATTCTTTACTTATTCAGACCAGCAATCAGAAAAGAAGCCAAGAGGAACTAAATAGGGTTACGAATGAAGGAAAATTGGGTTAAGATATATCAAAGTCAAATAGTCATATATAGATTTCCAAATATCTAACCCACCCACTTAACAGCATGTATATGCCTACTGTTATATTAGTAAAACATCTGAAACATAACAATACTTTATAAGGATATCTCTAACTAGTTTAGATTTTAAATCATTTAAGTTTTTAAAAACATTGTCTTGGCTCCAGTCACTGAGAGTCCCAGGAAAGCCAAAGTATGGACTAGAATGGTTGAATTCAACCCATCCAGCTTCTGTTTACTGGTCCTGCATTTTAACATTTATAGCACCCTGGCTATAACTCCTGTCATCCTTATCCATCATGTCAACTAGGAGGATTCTTATCCAACTTAGTTTAGAAAGAGCTGATGTTATCTAGAGATGGTATTTACCGTCATCAGCCCTATTTTGTGGGATTCTATTAAATACTACTTTTAAAACTTGTTATCAAAAGGTAATATGTCATAATGACTGGAATCTGTCAGTGTTCCTGCTTCAGGCTTAATACTGAAAACACATAAAAGACCAGACAAGGTATAGAAAGATTCAATATGAGAAAAGCAATCAGATGGAACCCCAAAATCAGCAACTGCAACCATCAGCTGCAACATCCCTGTTTGGGCTCAAAATCTTGGAACATCCATCTCCTTAAACTGGTCTGGTGCTGGATAGCTTAGGTAAAAGGAAACCCTGCGGATTTTACTCCGCTATTTGTTGCCATCTATAGGGGGTGATGCTTATCTCCATTTCAAGGCCAGCACTGTCTGTAGATATGTGGCCAGCATGACATCTTGGAGCACTGTTACCTTCCCACCAAAGTGGTGTCTATTTATCTACTCGCATTCGCATGGTTTTGAACTACTAGGCTGGCAGGAGCTGGGGCGAGGACATGAGCTCATACCATTGCGTGGTGCTCAGTCTCAAATTTGGTCTGCTGGCTTTCCAGTCAACAAGCCCAGTGTTTTAACTGCTGAGCCATCATGCTGTCCCATAAACTGGATAGCTTATGCCACTAAAAATTCAGAAAAATCTTTTCTTATAATCTAAACCCTAGTAGTGTCATTCCGAAGCAACCTTTCCCAAACTTATATTCTTCAGCTGTGACATACTACTATTTAACATTGTGTATTAGATTTATATTTCCCACATCATTCAGGAGCTCAAGATGGTATATAAAGTGCTCCGCGTTCCTATTTTTTTTTTCAAACAGTAATGCTGTGTGGTAAGTTGGGCTGCAAAAGAATGAATGTTCTCCGGGGCTGAGAGTGGACTAGAATTTGAGTTTTCTCATTCCTGGACCAATATCTCAATTATTAGATCAACAGCTGTGCTTCCTTGGGATAATTTGAACAGAAAAGAACTGGAAGGAACCTTTGAGGTCTTCTAGTCCTGCCCCCTGCTCAAGCAGGAGACCCTACATCATTTCAGACAAGTAGCTTTCCAGCCTCTTCTTTAAAACCTCCAGTGATGGAGCACCCACAACTTCTGAAGACAAACTGTTCCACAGGTTAATTGTTCTCAATGTTAGGAAGTTTCTCAATTCCAGGTTGCTTCTCTCCTTGATTAGCTTCCATCCCCCGGCCTCAGATGGGTGGCAGCGCCCTGGAAAAGGCCTCCGGAGGTCACGCAGTACCACCGGAGAGCCACAGAAGCATCCCCCAGTCTTAGATCCGGGCAGCAGCAGCCTGGAAAAAGACTCCAACATCCTGATCCAGCCTCCAGAGGCACGTGAAAGTGTTCCCCGGCTTCAGTTCTGTTCTCTGTGCAAAGAACAGAGGCCTAAAGTACAATGAGATCATGCAAAATCAGTAGCACCAGATCTTGCCCCACTGATCTTGTGTGATCTTGCGTTACTTTAGGCCTTCATTTTCTGCGAACACACCCAAGGCCTGAAGCAGCCAAGAAAGTGAAGGATCTCGATCTTCACAGGATGAGTATTGAAAATCTGGGGAGACCCGGGGAGGAGGTGAGGAGGGAGGGAATAACCAGGGTGAATGTTGCAGAGCCTCTGCAGTCACTCATAAGGGCAAACGACTGCTGTGGTGCTGCAATATTTGTAATTTTGGGACTTGCTCATAAGCACTAGGGGGCGCTTATCACATAACTTCGAATGAGCATTAAATGAACATTCGTAACCTGTATAGATTTCAATTAATTCTTGATATTGTTTTGAAGCTAGATATATAATATATATACATATACATATATACATATACATACATACATACATACATACATACCTACATTCATATATATATGAATGTTAATATTAATATTAAATATAAAAGCATGATTCCTGGGTGTGTACATGGTGAAAGTAAAATATGATCACCAGGAAAAGTTAAAACATTAAAAGTTTTAATATAAAACAGAAGTTTTAAATAAAAACATTAAAAGTTTTAAAAATTTCGAGCGTTATAGCCGAGGCCGTTTTGCAGCAGTTAAGAATACGTAGCAATGACCCAGTATCGTCGTATGTTCTGGGCCCGCTACGTTGACGACACTTTTGTTGTCATTAAGAGGAGCCGGATGGCTGACTTTGTGGGCACACTTAATTCAGTGTGTGTGGACATACAGTTCACTGCGGAGGAAGAACGCCATGGTAAATTGGCCTTCCTAGATGTTTTAATTCACCGTCGGCCTGATGGCACTCTGGGCACCAAAGTTTACCACAAACCCACACACACTGATAGGATCTTGCATTATCATAGTAATCATCCAGTGGCCCACAAAGTCAGCTGCATTAGAACTCTTTTTAAGAGGATCGACTCCCACTGCAATACAGCCAGAGCCAAAGTGGAAGAGAAGAAATATCTCTTTCACATCTGCAGGCTCAATGGGTACCCAGCCAGGTTTATTAAGCGACATGGTGTACTCTATAGACCCCCTCATGTTCAACAGATGGGGGCACCAGCATCCCTGACGACACGTGTCACTTCCCTTACGTCAGCAGTGTCTCAGAGGCTACGGCGAGAATAATGGCACCCCATAACATGAGGGTGGCACATAAACCTGACCGCACACTACGCTCATGTATTATGAGGCCAAAAGACCCACTCCCCATGGCAGAGAAATCAGGGGTTGTTTACAAAATCAGCTGTAAGGACTGCACCTCTAACTACGTGGGTGAGACCTCTAAGAGGGTAAAAACAAGGGTCCAGGAGCACGTTGGCCATAAGAAGAGGAGAACAGTATTCCCAGATCCGCACGCATATGATGGACTTTGGGCACAAATTCGATTTTGAGGGTGTGACTGTGGTTGCTAGCGATGTTACAAAGAGCAGCAGGTTGCTTAAAGAAGCGTGGCTTTCACAAGAGGAGTCACTTAATCGGCATATAGACTTGTGCCCTGCACACCTAACATTAAGAGCATGGGAAGCCCATCACTCCATCACTGGCAGCCCAGTAAAGACAACTTCACTCTGTTGTCGGAAACGACTAATATCCAGTCAAACAATAGCTGACGGCCTGAGACCCCCCGGGGCACCGCAATAGAAACACAATCACCATGCCAAGAAACACCTGCTGGGGCCAGGGATTTAATCCCCGATACATTAGGCATCTTCTCCGCCTCCTTAGAAACCCCCGTGATGACTAACCCGTATGTCGGTTGATCGGAGATGCGCTCGCCTCCGTGGAGTGTAACGAGAGCTTGGATTGACAGTTTGACCACACCCCCTACAGACACACAAGGAGAGGACTACCGTAAACCCCCTGCTGAAGGAATAATCACGCAATCTCAGAAGGCAGCATTACTAGCTGGGGTGAATGGTAGCGTGTGCATTTCATCAGTATCCGCATTGCACTTTACATCACACACCCCCTTCCGGGGGAGAAGCGAGGAGAGCCAACCCACTGGAGTTTGTAAGCAACCACCTTTGGGGATTTTGACGGCCTCGATGATTGGCCAACATGATTTACAGTCCAACCTCCACAATGGGTTGGCAGTTGCCCCAAAAAAGGGGAGAACAACTGCTACAGAACTTAGCGAGGCTGGTGGAGAATGAAAACAAAAAGGGGAGGAGAGTCAGTGCTATGGAAGGAAATAAGGATAAAGGGGTGGTGGAGGAGATGAATACCAGTAATGAGATAATGGAAGGAATGATCCGGAAGAACCATAGAAGGAAGCGTAAGGAGAGTAATAAAGAAACATCTGGAACACTAATTAACCGGCCGGGACCGGTGACGCGGTCCATGAGCCGGGTGCAGATGCCGGCAAAACCCATTTAAGTCATCATTGTTTACTGGCTCCTTAGCCCTGATGATGTTTGGAGTTTCCAAACGAAAGCTTGGCAGCTTTTAGTAAAGTATATTTTTATATTTATACTCTCCTGGTGTTCGTATTTTATTTGTACCATAGACATGCCCAGGAGTCGTATTTTTATGCAAATTTTCCAATATATATATATATATATATATATATATATATATATATATATATATATATATATATATATAATCAATTACCAATAAAGCGTGAACACCAGGAATATAATAAACTATAAAAGTTTAATACCATCACCGATCACCAAGCTTTCGTCAGATACTTCTGACATCGTCAGGGTTAATGCTGGTCTGTGGGAGAGTGCCTTTATAGGTGAGCCGTCATTTGCACACGGCTCCTAGATCTTGTCGTAGGTCCTAATTGATTTAACTGCTTTTTAATTACGGCTTCCATACTGATGACTCCTCTTTTCTTGCTTTTACTGCTTGTGGGTGTGTCATTATTCCCCTCTACCTCCCACTGCCTTGAATTAGGGAGGTTCTTTCCTCCCCTTTTTTGGTCATTCATATCTCTAAGTTGTTCCCTCTTCACACCTCCGTGTCTCCTACCTTCCTCCTTCTTCTGATCTTTACTTGCTCCCCAATTGTCATCCCTCATTCTATGGGGGAGCACTCTCAGCCTTTCTCCCCATCCCTTGCTTTCCATTTCCCTCTCTTTGGCTGCATAAACTCCGTTTCTGTCATTGCCATTCTGTCTGACATCTACTTGCTCTTTCACCCCATTGTCAATGTTCTCGGACTCCATGTCAGACTGAATCCCTTGAATATCTCCTTCCTCCTCACACAAGCCCTCGTGTGCCCTCCTTTTTTGAGTATGTATGCCTGGTTCCTTTATATCCCTCCCTCCATCAACACAGTGATCTTTTTTACAGTTTCTATCACATTCTACCCTTATTTGCATTTCCCCCCCATTCACACTGCTCTCGATCTCTATATCCTCTCGGGCATTCCGATTGGCGCTCTGTTGTTTCCGTTGATGGACTGTCATCACAGGTCCCATCCTCCTTCTTTCCTGATGCTGCTGGATCATCGCTGTTTTGGGTTTTGGGGGGTCGGGAATGATTGTTTGTTGGCTAATTGCCTCTTTGTCATCATGCAACCGTTCTCCTCCCCCCCCCTGCTCCAGGACCATGCACATGCTCCCGGACAGTGAGAGAACGGTTGCATGATGACAAAGAGGCAATTAGCCAACAAACAATCAGGGATTCAGTCTGACATGGAACAACAAGGATCCAGGGAAGACCGAGAGATCAGTGAGGGATGAAGGGCGGAGGAAAGGTGAAACAAGGGACTTGCAGGGTTCCCCGTCAAATCTTGAAGGAGCATCACCCATGGAATGGAAGGATGATATCCAGAATAATGGGGTGGGACCCATGGGGTCGATGACAGACTGGTAGAGGTAAAGGTCAGAAACAATGGTAAAGATAGACTATCTGCAAGTGGAACCGGCAAGCATACGATGATTACTCGATCAAGTCAGAAAAGAGAGGGAGACATTTTACCAGCAGATTTGACGTGGGAACATAAGATCATGAATAAAGAACACCCACAGCTACGACAGAGGGATCCCCCTGAAAAACAAGTATAAGGGATCCAGACCAAACGGAGAGGATAATCATCAAGAGCAGACTGGATGGCAAAACACCATTGATACAGTGGTGATAAAGAACACCTGGGGCAAAGACAAGGAAAGAGATACTAAGTTGAACAACAGGCAAACAAGGATGGCTCATGTAGAAAGGGACAAGAGGGTGAGGGGGATGCCCGAATCACAATCCCAAAGGGTGAGGAAGATCGGCCAGAGCTTAAGTGAGGTGTGTGGCAAGACTAGGAGAGAATTGAATGACCCACACCCCAGGACCCCTGGCAAAGAGAACTGTGCAGGGGGAATGGAAACAACTACCACCCAAAAGGGATGGGGGAGGGCCCCACTCAGCCCCAGAATTAGTAATGGAGGAGTACATAATAGCGCATGGAATGGTGACAGGAAAGGGCTAGGCGCTGATGTAAGGGATATACTCAGAGTGCAATTCGATCAGCTGGGACCAGTGATGCGATCCAGAAGCCGGATGCAGGCGTCCAGTGACCATATATAAGCTTCTTCCCAACAACTGCTTTTAACCCTGACGATGTCGAAAGCTTCCGATGAAAGCTAGGTTTTATTTATTAAATGTTTTGTTTCTCATTTATTCTCCTGGTGATCGTTATTTATCTGCTTATTTATATATATATTAGAATATATATATTTATATATATATCGTTATTTATATATATATATTAGAAATAACTTTTTATTTTTTGTAAGAAAACAATTTATTATGACATTCAATAACTTGTCAACATTCTTCATAATCAACGTTGCTCAGAACTGCACACGGTGCTCTTGGTGAGATCTGAAAACAATGGAATCGGGTGACACAATTTCTAACATCAAAAGATCCTTCTTACCTGGTAATGACTTGGACCACTTGACTACACAGAGGAGCTGCCTCTCACATAGGTAGTTGAGGCTGGTCAACAAAGCACTTGGAGTTTCTGGTTTTGTGTTATCATAACCTGCGTAGACAACCTCTGGTTCAATGCTTTGTAAGACAGTGATCAGTGGAGGGATAAATTGAATGTCTTGACTTGGTGAAAATGAAAGCCTCTGTACCAATGTTTGGCTTTCATTTGGAAGGGCTGCTGGCTGTTGGAGTGCGACAACATCTAAAGCTCTTAGCATTTTGACCTTATTAAACTTCTTAAACTTTCGACCTGCAATCCAAGGATACAGGGGTTAGCAGAAACACACAAAGAAATAAAATGTTTCAGTCTATAGAATATGCCATTTAGTTCAATAAGCAAGGTATTTACTTCATCACAATGCACTTAAAAGTAGACCAAATGCCTTAAGTTCTGGGTTAATCATAAACCAAGCCAGGATACCTCCTGTGTTTATCTCATAAATAGTTTGCTCCTTGTCTCAACCTATCTATGAAACCACAGCAATCTCCTTCTCTGTATTTGAAACTTATCTGGTGCAAATAGCAATGATTAGAAAAGAATGGTGCTGCGATCTTCATGAGACTCTGCAGGAACAGCATTGTGGATGAACTTGACTAATAATGGTTGCTTATCTCTTGAGCATTTAATATTCTATTATTGTCAATAGAACTAGGAAGGTTGAATCTATCATTCGCCACTCCAGAGAGCATTTTTATTTTGTCTAGGCCAGAATTGTTGATGTCTGCTGCCATCAGAAGTTCCTCCACTGGCTATTGCTGAGATTTTTGGAAATTAAAGACCAGACATCTGGCAAGCACCCCAATTGCAGAAGCTAATCTAGACTAATTCTGTTCACAGACTGAAAGCATGGAACAGCAAGCAAGGCCAACAGCCATAGTCAACATGAACAACCATATCAGATGCTGGAAATTGAAACTAAACAACATTTGAGGACCATGGGGTCTCAGCCCTTGGAGAACATTTGTGCTGCCCCATCACACATGTAGTAAATATCCATAATTTTCTTTTCTGGAAATGAAAATTACATATACGTTCCCAAACATAGCAACAGATTTATCCATGAAACAGGTCTTACAACTCTGAAGCAATGAAAGAGGAAGGAATGAAGGAAGATGTTTTAGGAAATGGATGATTTTGCTTGTTGGCATAAGATAGCAACTAGGGAAAAATATTAAAATATTAAGCAGTTGGAGTAGAAGACCCCACAGGCAGTATCAAAACTTCCCATTGTATGGGGAATATAATGAGCACTAGTTAAACTGTTGGGTACAAAGTAACTGTTGGCCTGTACTTTAAGTTTACTTTGGTGGCCATTTATGTACTTTATCTGTGATGTTGGTTGTGCTTTTTAGTGGCCATTAGCCATGGTGAGATCAGTGGCCATAGGAAGTGGATTTCAATGAAATGGAATGGAATTAAACAAATAACCAGATAGTTGTGATGAGACTTAGGTTAGATGGCTGGTCAGTCTCCACATCTCTTGGTTAGCAGCAATGTGCAGTTAAGCTAGGACTCTGAATCTTTAAAGATTGCAATCTTAACAAATCTTCCAAAGAATAAACTCCAAAGCAAAGAATGGCATCTATTTCTGGAGAAATTGTGCTGGACTAGTCTAAAGTTAAGGGGAAAAAACCCCACAATGATGTTAAATTCAAGTGGCACATGAAATAATGTAAAAGAAATTGGAATAATGATCTATGGATATGTACCCATAAATATTTTTAACCTTATCAGAAGGGAGGGATGCAAATCAGTTAACCCAGATACTCTTCTGCATTTCATTCTGTCACTGAAGAGACATCTTGATTTCTGGATGACTGTTGAAATCAGACTAGGTAACCAAAGTTATGAATACTAATACCTTTATTATTACCAAAACCAAAGCTATGAATACGTTTAGTATAAAGTTGCAGTAAAAGAATTTGGCTAGTCTCCCTTTATCTTGGTGAGACCTAAGGAGAGTCATGACTGAGATACTTCCTCAAATTACATTTCTGGCCATGACTCAGATTTCATTTATCTGCCTGTTGCCTTGATTGTGATTTTTCCTCCTGTTTTTTAATCCTTAAGATTATTCCTTCTTCCCATTACATTGGCCCACCAAACAACCCTTTTAATTGCTAATGCTTAAATTCAGACCCAGGCAACCAGTAGAAACACTCAAGTAGTCCTGATTAATATCAACCAGCCAACCCTGAACTTCTTTTAGTGCTTCTCACTCTCTGGCTAACCAAGGTGGCATTCTGCCAGGTATTGTTGAATACACCTTACTATCCAGCTTTAAGGCAGTGGTTCTAGTGTGAATTAATATACCAGTGAGTTCTGCTAGGGGAAAAAATGGCCTCCAAAGCTGATTTTATTGTTGGATGGAAAAAGCTTTCTCTCTCAAGCTGATGAGAGCTCTCTGCAGCTAAGCTGGAAGGACATATGGCTGCCATTTTGATGGCTCTAGAAAAATTGCAGGGCAGAAATCAAATTAATACCCACAACGAGAATTATTAAAAAGGAATATTAGCCCTTTCATATTACAGAGTTATTCTCTCAAACTTTCTTCTGAAATATGCAAGGTAGAAATATCCTCAGAAATGAGAGGGATGATATATAAAGCAGAATAACGGATTTGGAAGGGACCTTGGAGATCTTCTAGACCAACCCCCTGCTCAAGCAGAAGATCCTGTACCATTTCAGACAAATGACTGTCCAATCTCTTCTTTAAAACCTCCAGTGATGGAACGCCCACAACTTCCGGAGGCAAGCCATTCCACTGGTTGATTGGCCTCACTGTTAGAAAATTCTGAATTTGGTATATGTTGATTTCTTTAACAGTGATGAAAAAAATGGAAGGAGATTTATAACAGTCTCGCAAAAGAATTCATTCTGGATTTATCCCTTCTCCCCTTCAGCCCTCTGCCCATTTCCATCAGGAAGAAAGGGAAGTGAAAATAAACTGCCTCAGACAATTCATCCTAAACAAACTTCTACCACTAAATGTGCATAATCTTTCCAACAGGTGGAAAAATTTGTAGCAATTTGTTATTTCTTGACAGAATACCATGATTCTGCCTGCAAGGTCACTGTGCCCCTGTAGTTTTCTAAAGCAGAGTGCTTTATGTTCACTCCAGAAGGAGTGTACCCAGGCTGAGAGAACAAAGCAGAGTGATATATTAAGACTTCAGTGTGGAATCTGAAGTAACATCTTGTTAAAGATCTGACTTGGGAAATTAAGTCAGGTCTAAGCTAGAGAATCCTCTTACATTTATATTTTTCCAGCAGACATATTTATCTACTAAAAGGATAAATGCTTTAGATGGATATTTTATTGAAAGAGCTCCTTTCCATGTCTCTATTTGCAGGAACATTTTTATTTTTATTTTTTTGCTAATTAGTGTGATGTCCCAATCTCCAATTGGAAAATTACCTTATATAGCAGGGAGGGGGTGGATGGGGTGGTGGACAATGATGGCCCTTTTATGACTTGGGGACTTCAACTCCCAGAATTCCTGAGCCACAAATCATTAAAGGGGCCATAGTTCTACAGGGAGCCCTTCACTCAGTCTTTCACTCAACTTCCCCACAGTCACGTGATCAAAATGTGGGTGCTTGGCAACCAGCATATATTTACAACAGTTGCAGTGCCCTGGGATCATGTACCATTTGCAACCTTTCCTAGCTGGCTTTTGACAAGCAAAGTCAATGGGGGAAGCCAGATTTGCTTAACAACTGCGTGATTCACTTAACAACTGCAGTATCTGCATTAAAACTGTCTTACCCCAACAGAAATTCTAGTTCCCAATTGTGGCCGTAAATTTAGGTCGGTACTGAACTGGACACCTTTCACATGAACTGCATGTCCTCACCTGCTGTATTCATCCCCAAGCTAAGGAAGGGAGGGAAAAAATGGGTGCAAAAATAGACTTAAATAGGATCACAATTAGAGTATCTATTGATAATTGATAACTATTGTGCAGGAAAACTGCACAATTAGCTGGTTACATTATTGAAAGGGACCTTGGAGATCTTCTAGTCCAATCCCCTGCTCAGGCAGGAAACCCTACACCATTTTTGACAAATGGTTGTTCAGAAATTTCTTAAAAACCTCCAGTATTGGAACACCACAATTTCTGGAGGAAAATCATTCCACTGATTAATTGTTCTGTCAGGAAATTTCTCCTTAGTTGCTTCTCTCCTTGATTAGTTTCCATCCATTGTTTCTTGTCCTGCCTTCAGGTGAAGTGGAGAATAAGTTGAACCCTCTTTTTTGTAGCAGCCCTTTATATATTGGAACCCTGTTATCATGTCAACCTAGTCCTTCTTTTCATTAAACTAAACATACCCAATGTAGCGTTCTTTATATATTTTACCCTCCAGTCCCCTAATCATCTTTGTTGCTCTTCTCTGTACTGTTTCTAGAGTCTAGAATCTCCCTGAGTGAGCTGAACTTTATTAGATCTTTCAGGAATTTTCCAAGTTTCACAGTATCTGTACAGCTGAGTTACAGTTCATTCCACAGGAAATATCTTCAAAAATAACCCCCTGAGCCTAATTTTTGCTGCATTACTCATACTCAGATTTTATACTTGGATTCTTTCCTTTTATTTGTAAGTAAGGAAGTCACCCTTTACCTAAATTTTAGAGCATACACAAAATTGGTTGTTCACTGAAAGCAGTAAACATATTCTTGTAGCAGGAAAGTACACATACTGGAAGTCCCACATTTAACCAGCCTTACAAGAGACTTTTAAAGAGTTTATGATTCTCCTTATGTTTTGCTAACTCTCAACTCTGCCTAAAGTGTCACAGCCATGACATAATAAATATAACTAAGTAAGCTAAAAAGCATGTGTAATTATGATCTGATCAGCTTTGCAAGGGAGAAGAACGCTCATTTCATTTGTCCCTGTAGATCACTAATGAAATTACAGTGACCTCACGGGCAAACCTATTGTCTCCAAGCAGAGGTGGAACAATAGAGAATCATACTGTAAGGAAAATAGTGACAGAGTTGACCAAGGGCCAGCTCTTGGAGAAGTGCAGGAATGCAATGTTTACAGTTAACAAAGAAAAATGCTTAATGCTGGTGCTGCAAATTAAATTGAAACACAAATGCCCTGTTGAACAAAGTAGCTCCACCAGTGCTTCATACCATGATTCTGAAGGGTCTTACTGCGAGAATTGCAGGGGCAATTCAGAATTATTTTCCATTTCTGGTTTCAGTTGACAATAGACAGGTCAGTGTTTACTCAAACTGT